TCGGAAAAAGTCCTGTTGACAATGTATCTCACAGGAAGGCCCTGGCTAAGCTCCAGCCACAGGAGTACCGCACTGAGAAGCCAAAGCCAACCCTGATGGCAATTGCAGCTACATGGTGGAAGCAGCAGAAATTCGAGTTTCAGCAGCAGAAATGGAAAGGGAAATTGGAGTTTCAGAAAGAGTTTCAGAAAGGGGAGTTCGAGTTTCTGAAAGAGTTTCAGAGACGGAAATTGGAGTTTGAGAAAGCGTTATTGGAGTTTCAGAAAGGCGAGTTCGAGTTTCAGAAAGAGTTTCAGAGACGGAAATTGGAGTTTGAGAAAGCGTTATTGGAGTTTCAGAAAGAGTTTCAGAGACGGAAATTGGAGTTTGAGAAAGGGAAATTCGAGTTGAAGAAAGCGGGGCTGGAGTTGGAGGATAAAAAAGAAGAAGAGGAGAGGAGGAGGATAGAAACAGTCATAAAAAATGCTCATACCATTTTCGACATGGAGAAGTTCTCTGACAGTGAAGCTGCTGACTTCATCAAGCTTGTACTGGATAAGTGGAGTCCTTTGCATCAACTCCTGCATGGCAATACTGATTTGCATGCAATCCGGTGGAGATCGTTTCTGCCCAAACCGCTTGGTATGTTTATTTGTTTATTGTTTGTTTTGTTTAAAATTTTGTCTTCACACTTGCATCAGCATTTGGAGGTCGATATGTGCTCGACACACTTAACCAAGAGGGAATCAAAGGCTGGGACCGGATCAGAAAAGATGTTTGTGCAGACTATAAGGGAAGAGGCTTTGAACATTTACAAGTTTCATATGTGGAAGGAACGGAGCCTGACCAGCTTGGCGGTACTGTTTTCTAATCTTCTTTCTTCTTTGCTACAAATCCTTGTCCTTGAATGCAGGGAAGAGCATGTATGCCTCTGATGAGGCTCAGGCAAATGTCGGAGTCGAACACTACGCTGCCTGTGGCCTTTGTTTTGCAGTGCTGTTGGAAAGTATTTTTCGGGTCCTTGACAAAGACAAAGCTCTGCCTAGAATTTCGGTCAAGGTTCTGGTTCCAGTTCAGACATCAAACGGGAAGCGAATTCCGCACGTAGAGGTTGAAGTTGAAAGGTCGAGTTCGAGGTGCAGGTTCCTAATAGAGCTGAAGAGTCTGAAGCGGAAGGGTGATGACATTCAGGAGGAGACCAGGGCGAAGAGAAGCAGGGTGCCGTCTTCTGATCAGAAAAGCGACGAAAGCGACGAAAGTGAGGAGAACAACAGCATGAGCAAGAAAAAGCAGCGTATTGTTCCCAGCGACGATAGTCGGGAGCTTCTCAGCCCGCTTCTACAAACGGCTCGAGGCCAAATTGGTGAAATTCACATGGCAAGGCAGTCTCACAACAGGGTTCAGAGCGGGTTTGTATCCAGCGGCGTGCATGTTATAACCGTCCGGACTGACTCCACCAAATCCGAAGATCATTTCAAAGCCAGCCGGGTACTGAAAATCGTGGAGGGTAGCGACATAAAGATAGGAGAGGCCAGGAGTTTAGATATGGATTCAAGGGGGGTCGATCAAGTCCTCAAAGAGGTAGTTATTGCTCTGATCAAAGCCGGGTTCCTGCCACAGAGTCTGCTTCAAGGTGATGCTAGTGGTGCTGCCGGGTTGAGAACAGAGAGAATGGAAGTAAGTGTTGATGAAGAGCAGCTAGTTCAACCGGTTAAGGCTGAGGCAGCTGAGAAAGAGCATCGGTATCTATTCCCCGTGACAATCCATGGATCGAGATTGAAAGCCTGGATTAAAGCAGCAACAGTAGATGACCGGTACAAGCAGGTTCAGCGAGAGCTTTTAATTCGTCAGTATCTGTGTCCAGAGGACTCTGTGAAGGCGAGGGCAGTAGTCTGGAGGGGGGTTCCTGCGTTACTCTTGGAAGATGCGGGGCACAAAATCAACAGAGACACAATGACGCCTGAAGACGTTTTCCATATGACAAAGGCCATTTATATGGTACTTTCTCATGTGTATGGCGAGCATGGGATTTCGCACAACGATGTTGCACCCCGCAACATCTGCCGAGACGAAAATGGACGTTACCGACTTATTGACTGGGGATTAGCCAGCCGGCTGCCCGATATTGATCATCCCACCAATGTACCTGATTGGCTTTATTCAGGTACTTGCTTTTTTTCTGGAAGTCAAACTCCAGGAATCCATTCCGATTTAGAAAGCCTTGTGTATGTGGCACTGGACTGTCTGCATGTACCATTGCCATGGGTAAATGCGGCCAATGGTTCCGATGTTATTAAGATCCGCAGAAGATTTCGGAGCAGCTTGAACTCCCCAGTGTTGAACGCCTTGTATCTACCACTCCTCAAAGCATGGTTAGAGCTGGAGATCTGAATACCCTATGATTATAACAAAAACGTCTTAACTTGACTACTCACCTTTCTACAAAGATGTCTTTCAACCCTGAACTAACAGTTGCAGCTCCTCTGATGGCTGGTAAATAGTAGGTAGCCCAAACTTTCATCTGAGGCATTTGTGGTTCCTTTATCAGTTCTTTAATTAGTTCTTATAATATTTAAACAAGCTTTTTGATATTCAAGCCTAACTAAAATGATTATCTTCTAATATTTAATATGTAGTGTGTTCTGTAAGTTTACTTCTTTCAACAGGTATTTTGCTTGTTAGAGAGGAGGCACATAGTGCAGGGCAAGGTGATAGGGGGCTGGAAAGCTGGAAACCCAGGCAAGATCATCTAAGTGCTGAAGAACACTAAAGACACCTGTTATGGTGAATCTATAAAGGAGTATATTGCTCTCCATGGTGCGAAAGTTGTTATGAATTAATATGTGTCCAAGGATATCAGGAAGACCAAAATTACGCTTGTAGACAAGCAAAACGATGTCAAAAGCAATCCACCAAATATAATTGTTAAAACTTTAAAACAAATGCAAAAGTACAAGCATAGCCATGAGTTGAGAGTAAATCTATTCTCAGGGCCTTTTAAAACTCCAAACTCAACTGAAAATCTTAGAATAAATAAGTTAACTATCACTATGTTTTGTATCACTTTGCAGTAATCACTTTGATTTCTATATTATAGTAGAACATTTTATATGATAGAGCATTCCTAAATGTGCACTAGTAAATCAGCTTTCTAAGCTCATAATTTATTTTAAATATCAACCATCTATCCTTATGAGCATAAAATTCTGAAGGACTCCAAGATACCTCAAGAGCGATATATGAGGCAAATGATGAGCTTGAAAGATCACCTATGCATGAATGCAATTCCATAACTCTCCTTTAGACTTCAAGTAAAAACTATGTATAACACAAATCCAATCTGAGCATACTTGATGATCACTATGTTATCTATAGACACACTGGGGGATAATCCCAACACAGCACTAAACTCTATCCAAAAGCATCTCACCATCACCTTGACCTTTTGAAAAGAACCATACACTATTAGTGAACAAAACTGAATAAAAATGATGGATATGGAGGTATTAAAAGTCGTAGCACCTCAAGTATGAATTATACTATGGATTTGGAAGTAGCTTACTTGCCATTGTCTGGAGGTGAAAATAATAACAATCTTCACTGGCACTTGCCACAACGACACTCTTGAGGATGAGCCAAATAACACTCTTTTGCCACATTTGCTTTACATGATACATAGCCATATGCCTTCGGCACAACTTGTTGATTGCAACAGCATCTCATCATTGTTCCTCAAGCTGTAAGAGCTGATCATGGCAGTGTTGCAATTGGGTATTAATTTGTTAAAATGCAAACTGGAAAATTTATTGATAACTCAAACTAGTTACATTGATATAGCCTTTGGGAGAGGTCGACTATGAGCTGCTCTTTTCTTGCCATGAGAGCCGTGAGCTTGTCAAACGCTGCTTTGAGCCTCTCCCTGACCAAAGCACTCTGCTGCCACTGCACAGAGTCGCCGTCGGGGGAGAGCTCGTTTCTCTTCTCGCTCCTTTCCTCAGAGATTTGAGCTCGTTGTTTGCTGATACAAGCTTTGCCTGTGTTGAAAGAACCTCCATTGCAACAAAAAAAAAGAATTCGCGAGATTTTGTCATCGCTGTAGTTGGGGTCATTCAAAACTTTGTCAAGAGCGTCTTGTGTCGCTGTTCGACCCTGTGTTGCTCAACCAATGCGAGGATTTGATCGAGCTTTGCTACATTCTGGCCAAAACCAAACAAAGCACAATCTAGCAGCAGGAGAAAGAGGACAAAGAAACCAGATGTGAACGACTTACTTGGAGCTTGGCTCGCAATTTGGAGACCTTTGTTGACAGGTGTTCTTTCTCGGCTTCCAGTCTGTGGACGTTTTCTCGCAAGGAGACCACGTCTTCCTGGAGGCTTTGCAGCCGGCAATAGTTGGCTTTGAAATGGTCCCTCAGAGCTCAGCATTGCGCTTGCAAGATGTTGCAGTCCCCGTCCAAGAGAAGCTCTCCAGGAATCTCCACTTCGTTTAGGAAGTGTGACAAGTATACGTGCTTCTTAAACACCACAATCTAGAAAACAATAGCCAAGCAGCCACCAGCAAGAAGAAGTTAGAGGAAGAAACAAAACTCACTTTGCATGACTGTTTAGATGGAAAATGACCTGAGGAAGCAGCCACGAGAGCAAAGGATAAATCACGTCTTTGCTCCCGGAAGATAGACCTTGACGAAATGATATCCTGCATTAGGAAAGCGATTGAATCCAGAAAAAAATAGTTTCTTCTTACGCATCCATGTTAGGGAAATAATAGGAGCGCAAGAGCTCCATCATGCAAGCAGTGGACGCCTCTAGCCCATCGCTCTCCAAGCATTTCTTCTGGAAGAAGAATGAATCGATAGGCATTTAGATGGGTGAGTTACCTGGTTGGGACTGATGTAGCTCAAAACGCGGACAAGTAGCTGGTGCAGAAGCTGGGCTCTATGGCTGCTCAAGTAAAGAAACCAAAAAAGAATAATCTAGTGAACTCCACAAACCTAGAAGATAGCATTAGGGCAAAATAACCCTAATTTTATAAAATTGGCGCCAAACGCTGTTTAAAGTTCTTTAGAAAGAGCTTATTGGAGATTGCGGCAAAATACTGTGCCCCCAGAAGATTAGCCCGCTAGAATGCACGCTTGTGTAGGCCATTCTGGCTTTCCAGTACCTTGTTCATTGTACCTCTTACAATTAAACCACATCTTTCTCAAGCCTTAACACCGCCATGAACGCGTCTTGGGGAACCTCCACTCTTCCCACCGATTTCATTCGTTTCTTGCCTTCGGCCTGCATTGAACAAGTGAGCTGTGTATCAAGTGGCTTATCTACTTACTTGTTTCTTCAACAGCTTCTTCTTCCTCGTTATGTCTCCTCCTGCAGCATTGGAAGATTTTGAGAGCTGTACAAAGAGTTGAAAGGAGAGCACAGACCGTAGCACTTGGCCAGCACGTCTTTGCGCATGGCTGAGATTTGTTCACTGGCAATGACTCTAGACCCAAGGCAAGCCTGTAGAGAGATCTCGGGTTAGAGTTTTGTAGAATACGGAAAATGAAAGAGGTGACACCTGAATTGGTATTTTGAAGAGCTGGCGGGGAATCAAACTTTTGAGTTTCTCCGTCAGAGCGCGTCCTATGGTGTACGCCTGTCGAAATGGAGAGATTAAATTGCTATGCTGAGTAGAAACAGTGAACAAATACCTTATCTTTGTGAACGATTGCCGATAGCGGCTCCACAGGCTCCCCATTGATTCGTATATCAAGTTTGACAAGATCACTCACGCGATATCTGCATGATTAAACGTATGATTCAATACCAGCCTACGAAGAGCTTTTGATCTACCCGGTAATGGAGTACTCCATGCTCGCGTAGCCCTTGCTACGTGACTTCAATTGATCAAAGAAATCTCCAACCATCTACCAAAATGTTAAACGGCATTCAAGCAGAAGAAAATGCTTGAGAGTACTGTACCTCAGCCAGAGGAAGATCATAAACAACACAAGCACGGTTTTCAGTGATATAATTCATCTCTCTGAATTCTCCACGCCTTTCTTGTGCGAGCTCCATCAGAGTGCCAATGTACTCTTTCGGTGTTATCAGATCAATCTGGATCTTAAAAGTTTAAACTTTTGCAAAAAGCCATATAAAATTATGCCCACCTTCACATAAGGCTCCGAAATACATTTGCGATTTTCAGGGAGTTCCGAAGGATTCGAGCATTCAACCTGGGAATCAAGATATCATCACGGTTTTACCAAGAAAAACGGTACTTACAGTTTCTCCGTCAAGCCGTTCAATATTGTACACAACACTTGGTGCGGTTGTAATCAAATTTAAATTGTACTCCCTTTCTAGTCTTTCCTGTAAGCGTTTCATGAAAACTTAAGAAAAGAATGAAAATGCGCCAATTA